TAGAGTAAGTGTACTCGAGGCATCAGGGTTAGGACAAAAACTTTTGACTTAAGTGTTATGTTTTATACAAAACCATGTATAAAATAGTCCTCTTGCATAAATTAAAATATATGAAGCAACACAAGTTTTGCAGAATAAATATGGACATAATTTATATTAGTGTATTGCTACAGAGGGGAGAAGAGGAGGGCAGGAAGAAAGATGAAGAGAAAACAATGTTTTAGGAAACTTTGTGTGTTAGGAAACTTAGGTACCAGATTCTAAGACTTATTAAAAAGATGTGGTAGTCAGGACAGTGGTGTGGTTGTCTCCATGGGCAGCAGATTAATGAGCACCCAGAATCAACCCACATACACATTGTCAATTTGTTTTCTAACAACTGTCCAGACAGGGCAAGGGCAGAAAGGAGGAACTGGGCCCATGAGATGGCTCAGCAGATAAAGGCACTTGCTGCTAAAACGTGATGACCTGAGTTCAATCCCTGGGACCTACACGGTGGAAAGAGAAGACTGAGTTCTGCACATTGTTTTCTGTCTTCCATACATCCACATGGCACACAGGTGCCCACAGGAATACACACACACACACACACACACACACACACACACACACACACACATGTATTCAAATAAGGTAGTTGGCTTTTCTTTTTCTTTCTCTCTTTCTTTCTCTCTCTCTCTCTTTCTTTCTTTCTTTTCTTTTTTTTAAGTTTTCTATTAAACCAACCACATGCTTCTGACTGAGTCACTGGTGAGGTACTTCTCCCTCCCATGCTGAATGAGAACTGTGCTGAAGAGAGAACAAGATTATCTACAGCTCACTGAGGCCTGTGTTTCCCAGTATTATACAGGCTGTGTGTATTGCTTGGAATGGTCACGCCTGCAGCAAAGCCTCCAGCAGCAGGTCTGGCTCCAGCTGCAGCCCCCTTGCCACCAACTCTGGTCTTTGCAACCAGAGTGGAGCTTTCTTGTAGTATCCAGGAAGCAGTCAAAGCAGCTGCTCTGCCAAGGAAAGGGCTGCTTGATTGACAGTGCCCCAGCTCAAGGCAGCCAGGCACAAAGAAGGGCCAAGAGGAGTAGTTAATTCCTGATAGCTTAGTTTGTTTAAAGGCAGTAAAGAAAAAAAAATCAACACAGCAAAGTCCACTGAAGGTGCACACAATAAAGACCTATCATAGAATTTACATTCTCAATAGCACTTGATAGTCCTTAACTAGCAGCCTAATATTCTTAGGAAGAATTGAGCCTTCAGGGACTAGAGAAATGCTCAGCAGTTAAGAGCACTTACTGTTGTATACTTGAACATATTTGGATATATGCCTAGGAGTGGTATAGCTGGATCTTGAGGTAGCTCTATTCCTAATTGTCTGAGAAAGCACCAGATTGATTTCCAAAGTGGTTGTACAAGTTTACACTCCCACCAGCAATGGCAAGGACATTTGCTCAGCCACGTTCATAGCAGCTTTATTTGTAATAGCCAGAATCTGGAAACAACCCAGATGCCCCTCAGTTGAGGAATGGATACAAAAATTGTGGTACATTTATATAACGGAATACTACTCAGCAATTAAAAACAAGGAAATCGTGAAATTTGCAGGCAAATGGTGGGAACTAGAAAAGATCATCCTGAGTGAGGTGTCCCAGAAGCAGAAAGACACACATGGTATATACTCACTTATAAGTGGATATTAGACATATAATATAGGATACTCATACTAAAATCTGTACACCTAAAGAAGCTGAGCAAGAAGGAGGACTCTGGATAAGATACCCAGTCTCATTCAGAAAGGCAAATGGGATAGACCTCAAAAGATGGAGAAAACAGGGAACAGGACAGGAGTCTAGCACAGAGGAACTGACTCTGCCCTACACAATGGAATACTACTCAGCAATTAAAAACAAGGAAAACTATAGGGTATTAAAGCAGATGCTGAGACTCATAGCCAACATTTGAGCAGAGTACAGGGATTCTTATGAAAGAAAGGGGAGATAGGAAGACCTAGAGGCAACAGGAGCTCTACAAGGAGAGCAACAGAACCAAAAAATCTGGGCCTAGTGTTCTTTTCTGAGACTGATACTCCAACAAAGGACAATTCATGGAGATAACCTAGAACCTTTGCACAGATGTAGCCCATGGCAGCTCAGTGTCCAAGTGGGTTCCCTAGTAAGGGGAACAGGGGCTGTCTCTGACATGAACTCAGTGGCTGGCTCTTTGATCGCATCCCCCTGAAGTGGGGGTGGGGGCAGCCTTTTCAGGCCACAGAGGAAGACAATGCAGACAGTCCTGATGAGACCTGATAGACTAGGGTCAGAGGGAAGGGGAGGAAGACCTCCCCTATTAGTGGACTGGGGAAGGGACATGGGAAGAGGAGAGGGAGGGTGGGTGGGACTGGGAGAGGACAAGAGAGGGGGCTACAGCTGGGATACAAAGTGAATAAATTGTAATAAATTAAAAAATTTTTAAATAAAAAAGAGAAGCAGGGCTCAATTTCCAGAACTCACAATGGGTAGCTCACAACTGCCTATAACTCCACCTCTATAGGAGCTTGCCCTCTTTGGTACCTGCCCTCATGTGCATATAAACACATAGAGACACAAATAATTAAAATTAAGATAAGTTTAAAAAAAGACTGTTGGGGCTGCAGGAAGAGTTATATACTCTTCTGATTTGTTCTGTCACTAGGATTCTTCTTTTGAGACAAGGTCTTTAGTTCCAGGCCAGGCTAGAACTCACTATGTAGACTAGGCTGACCTTGAACTGACAGAAATATGCTTGCCTCTGCCTCCCAAGTGTTGGGATTAAAAGCATGTGCCACCTGCTCCCTAGGATTTCATAAACATGTGCCTGTCATACAAGCCAGTTTTTTTTCAAGCCTATATACTGACTCCTGGCAAAATGAGAGCATATGTTCATGCAAAACCTTGCACATGACCACTCCTAACCACTTTATGTGTAATACCCTGTCCACACATACACACGCACACCACACAAACACACGCACACACAGCTCTCCATGAGAACAGAGAAAGTATATTCTGGATCCAATGTAAGTAATGGAGGCCCAGAAAAACTCACTTAGATTACCCCAAATTCCATGTTCCAACATGTCTAACAGCTTCACGATGTTTTTCTAACAAGAAAACTAAAAAAAAAAAGAAAAAATCAAACATGTTGGTGGAAACACCAGATAGATGAGTTCCAGAACAGTAAGCACTCTCAGCTATAGACCTCATCTGCTGTCTGGCCACCCTTTTTAGCTGTTGGGTTGGTATAAGCTAGTGCTCTGTCTATACATGCCAAAGGATTTACCTACCAGTCATCAACATGCTAGGTCATGCAGAGAGGAGGGAAATAGGTGGTTTTAAGGGAGCTAAAGATGACCCAAGATGATCAGGCTCTGGACCTGCACCATTCCAAGCTCTCTACAGGCATCGAGGCTCCTAGTGGTTCTAAACCTGGGGGTTCAGATGTCCTACATATCTGATACTTACATTACAATTTGTAACAAAAAAATTACAGTTATGAAGCAGCAACGAAAATAATTTTATGATTGGGGTCACCACATCATGAGGAGATGTATTGAAGGGACGCAGCATTAGGAAGGTTGAGAACCCCTGCACCAGTTAAGCCTTGCAGAAGGCTTGGTGGAAAGTGTAGAACTTTCATTCACAGTCCAAACAGTCAGTTCAGAGGGTCGTCTGTCCGAGACTTGGGAGGTTCGAGAAGACTCTGGAGAGAAAGAAAAGCCCCACTCCTAACAACTCACCTCTACCCTCCACCCCTTCCAGAACTAAGGAAAATGATCTTCCCTTAGCCATTCAAACAAGAAACTACTGGCACATGGAACATGAATGGAGCTCAGAACAAATTAACTGATTACATGCTGTATGGTTTCACACATGGACTTGAGTAGAAAATGCAAACTGCTCTACAGCGATTGAAAACAGTTGGCTTAGGAGGAGCCCTGGGAGGAGAGAGGACACCAGGTGGCACTGGGACACTTCAGAGCTGATGTCCATAATCATGATTGTGCCCATGGTTTCCTCAGAGAAGCATATGTCTCACCATGTTACTGGAGTTGTCAAGGTCAGAGCCTGGGCCCTGGCAGCCCTAACAAGCCAGGCCCTGCCACCTGCTTGCTATATGCCAACTAAAGAGACATGTCATAGCAGAGGGGCTGCAGAAGTGGCTCAGAGGTTCAAAGCGCTTACTGTTCTTGCAGAGACTCTGAATTTGGATCACAACAGCATGAAGCTGCAGTTCCAAGGGATCAATACTCCCTCCCTCCCTTCCTTCCTCTCCCTCTCTCCTGCTCTCTCTCTCTTTCTCACACACATACACACACACACTTTTTATTTTTTAATTAGGACAGTGGAATGCAGAGCAAGGTGATTTATTCAACATGGCCACACTGGGAAGAGAAACGGTGAAGTCCAGGATCCCTCAAGTCCATTTTCTGAGTCTGACACAGGCTCAGGCTTTAACAGAGGGCAAGAGGAATGCAGTCAAGCTGTGCTTGTCTTCAAGGTGGTCTGGAAAGTTATCAGAGCAGTGTGAAATCTTTCCAGACGGCAAGTTTGTCTTCTGGCTGGCACCAGACCTGAGCCTTTTCTTTCCTAACATGAGATTCTTGGGGAAATTCGGATTTCTTGGGTCCATTGTTTCAATAGCCTGATAGCACAGTGTTTCCCTCTAGAATATCTTCCCTCCTGTCAGGACTGTCGGTTACAACTGTCCAGTCCAGTGTGTGTCACATTTATGCAGGTGGTTTCTGTTGTCCTTGTTAATATAACAATAGGTCGGGCAGTCAGGTGCCAAGAGTCCTCCAGAAGAAGCGCAGCAGAGCGAGGTGCCAAAGCCTTTGCCCTAGAGCTCATCACGCGGCCATGCTCACAGAGCACAGCGCATGGAAAGCGCTGGAAGGGCGTGGAGCAAGGAGGACCCACGTTAATTATTACCCGCGGTGGCCGGATCTCTGCCCCGCCCCCCCCCCCCCCCCCCCCACCCGCGGTGGCCTGCTGCCTGCAGTCGCTCTCTCCTCCTCTGCCGCCACCCGCTACCGCGCTGGACATGGTAAGCAAGCGCAGGAAGTCCGGCAGACCCTGAGCTGGGACCGGGAAGGAGGGGCAAGCGCTCCGATGCTGGGGGTACGGTCCCGCTGAGCTTCCCGCAGCGCCATCGAGCCTCACTAGGGTCACCTCTCCGCCCTTAGGGGCGCTGGGCTGTAGATACGGGAGTGGCGGTGGCGGCAGGCCTGGAGAGAATGGAACCTGGCCTGTCCGGACTCCCAGGCTGGGTCTGCTGGCGGGCTTTGGTGGGGTGGGGCAGGAAGGCGGGTCTCGGTGGCGCTGCCTTGGTTCTACAGGTTAGCTGCTCCCTTGGGGTGCCAGATGTGGCTGCGCTCAGTTCTCTCTTGCACCCCGGTGCTGTCCTCGGCCTTGCGCCCCACCCTAATACCTAGCTGGGGTTCTCGTACCATCCTGGCACGGTGGTGGGTCAGGATCTTAGGTCCTTTAAAAACGTTTGTCCCTGGAGCTGCTAGATCCAGCAACCCTTACCTAACAACAAAGTTCTCCGCAACAGCCTTGACAGTAGTCAGGGATGGGAGCCGCGTTTTGGCAGCTGTGGCCTGAGAAGGGTCACTGGGGACCAAAGACACAGGCTTGGATAATCAGTAATCCCTCAGCCCATACCAGAGGCTGACAGGGCTTTGCTAAGCAAACAAGCCCTGACCACTCTGACCTCAGAGTTCAGAGCATTGTCAGTCAGAGACTTGGTTCTCGAAATTTCTAAAGAAAAAGTACCCCCCACCCCCACATCCCACCAGCTTACCTGTACCCACCACTCTTTTCTGAGCCAAGAAAAAAAAAAAAAAAAAAAAAAAACAAAAAAAAACAAAAAAACAGTGGGTTTTGGTGCCCTGTGACTTCTGGTTGCTTGGTTACAAGGGCCCGGCTTATCAGACACTGAAGGGCCTGTTTACCACAGTGCAGATCTCTGCAGCAGCCTCTACAGCCATGCCCAGCCAGGGCAGGAGAGTGATGAGGTGGAACCCTTGTTTCTGAGAGCACACTGACCAATGATGGTTCTGTAGGCCCCAGTGTTGGCCTGGAACCTGTCACAGGTCTCCTTCTTGTCCTTTTTTTTCCTTTTCTCTTCTTTTTTGCACTTTTTTTTCTTTTCTTTTCTTTTCTTTTTTTAATGGATATGAGTGTTCTAGCTGCATGCTAGAAGATGGTTGTTGAGCCACCACGTAGGTACTGGGAATTGAACTCAAGTCCTCTGGAAGAGCAGATGTGCTCTTAACCACTGAACCATCTATCTAGACCCAAGAAGGGCTTTTTAAATGAAGTTGACATCCACTTTATAACCTTGCAACTTACTCAAGTATTTTGCTGGCATCTCTTGGTCTGAGGAGAGGGTCTCAGCCCTTTACCCATGAAGCCAAGGGACCACCTGGCTGGTAAATGGGCAGGGCCAAGGCATAAACCACCCTGCCAACTCATCCCAGGTTATCAAAACTTTTGGGTGGCTTGCAGGGCTCACTTCACCTTCCTCCCACTCCCCAGGCTTTGGGTCATTATCAGTTTGACACTGTATCCCTGGGAGGTGGTTCTATTTTACAACCCTAGTTTATTAGATTCATGGCCCCACATCTTCCTAGAGGACAGAACTAACCCCTAACTTCTATGTTTTCTGGAGGGTCCACTCAGGACCTGACCTGGTGTATGCTGAGGGTCACACCACGGGTACTTTGTACAACAGGCTAATGAGTATGTCAAGTGGCCATGACACACCATTTCCATTTTGGGTCTGGGCTCTGTGGTCCTAGATTCCTAGGGGCCAGAGACAGCTTCATCCTGACAGCTGTGGACTACATAGGGGCATGACGGAGGCAGGGCTCACATCAGCAAGGTGGCTGAGAATCGTCTGGGAATGTGTTTGAAATGCTGTTTTCTTCATCCAGCCCCAAGGGCTATAGGTGTAACAGACCATACCTTGAGTTTCTGACATCACTGACTGAGGATGAGTGAGGGAAGAGTCTAGGTCTCTGTAGATTGCAGAAGGGGTTTGGGAAATGGAGCGCAGAAGGAATGCTGAACAATGGGGATGCCAGGAAGGGCATATTGTAATGCATTGGAATTGGGCTGAATTTTGCTTTAATTCCCTTGATAACACATTGGCACTTACATGGGAAGATGCAATGAATCTGTGAGGCTTTGGGAATAAGAGTGAGGAGCGCTCTTTATATCACATTTTCTTTGGCATCCTGTAACTATAAAGCAGGTATAAAACCCAGGATCAAGGCTATGGATGTGGCTTAGTTTGTAAAGTGCTTGCAAGTATGAAGCTCAGAGTTCTCATTCCCAGGAACCACACTTTAAAAGCCAGGCATGATAGTGTGTGCTTGTAATCCCAGCACTGGGGAGGCAGCACAGATGGATGGCTGAGGCTCAGTGGCCAGCCAGCATAGCCTACTTGGTAACAGACCCTGTGTCAAAAAATAAAGGAGGTTGGAAAGTTGCTCCATGGCTCCCAAGAACACTGGCTCCTATTCCAAAGGACTTGGGTTTGACTCTCAGCTTACAAGTGCCAGTGACTCCAATTGTAGGGGATCTGACATCCTCTGCTGGCCTCTGCAGGGACCAGACATGCAGGCAGTGTATAGACTTATGTGAAGACAAAACATTCATACACATAAAATAAAAATTTTAATAATTTTTTAAAAATTATAATAAAGGTAATGATATCTGAAGAACGACATCTGAGGTTATCCTCTGGCCTCCATTATGTAGCCCCCTCTCAAATATATACCAAAACCTAAATCAAACAAGCAAAAACCCAAAACAAAAAAATTCAGGATCTAAGAGCCTATGAGACCAGTGTAGACCCCACCTCCTGGCAGGGCGCTTCCATGGAAACCTAAAGGTCTGTTGCTTGCCATCAGGCACTTGTATCCACAGCAAGCCAGCACTGGCTAAATTTCTCCCAAAGGTCTGAGGCACACTCTTGACCTATAAAAGGAATGCCCTGGGGCCTCTGTTCTCCCTCTTCTAGGCTGGCAAGGCACACAGACTGAGTGCTGAAGAGCGGGACCAGCTGCTGCCAAATCTGAGGGCTGTTGGGTGGAATGAAGTAGAAGGCCGAGATGCCATCTTCAAGCAGTACCATTTTAAAGACTTCAACAGGGTACGTGGAGCAGGGCCTGAGCGAGCCATACTTTGAGTGTTCATGTCATGTCCTGTTAGCCAAGGACAAATAGATTTCCAAGTGACCTGCAAAGAGAAGGGCCTTGGATTCCCCCCTTCCTGAAACTTGAGGAAGTCTTTGGAGAAGACAGTCCAGGTAGCAAGCGCTTGCCCTTTTGAAGGCATTTTATCAAACAACAAAGAATTGGCAAATACTAACAGCTTGTGCTGTTTGCACCACATTGGGTGCTAGAGACACCAACAAAGGCTTCCAAATCAGGGACAGGATGTCCTGGGGAGGTGATTAGAGCTCTGGGACTCCCTAGAAGCTAGGCTATCCTCGTGCATCAGGTCTTACTGGCCATGACAAAGTCTGGTCTTCCTTCACTTTATCAGGCTTTTGGCTTCATGACAAGAGTTGCCCTGCAGGCTGAAAAGCTGGACCACCACCCCGAGTGGTTTAATGTGTATAACAAGGTGAGTGAAGTTGTTACCATGTTATGCCCTGCCCAAAGTCTTAGAACCCCAAGTCTTCCTAAAGGTTCACCCTTGGACCTGACTGTAGGCCTTTCCTCACCAATAATTTGTCTACTTCTATCTCCTTAGGCCAACAGAGATGCCTCACAAAACAGCCGTCTAACCTCAGATAATAAGTGCAAATTAAAACACTTTACTGTGGCCAGATATTAAAGACAAGACTCAGGAAGGGAAGGCAAAAAGAAGGGCATACCCACTGTTAACAGTACTAAGGGCTTTATTCTAGATGGAAGAATGAGAGAATACTAAAATCGAACTCAGATACCTACTCATGGCCAACAGATCAGACTGATGAACATGCTAAGAGCTCTGCTGGACTGTTGAAAAACATGGACGTGTTTAGGACTCCCACAAGTTGTCCTCTGACTGCCACACGCACAACGTCAAAATGCCTTTTCCCACTGAGCCATCTTGTTGGCCCCTGACTTAAGTTCTTATTTGCTCTTGATATCTGGCTGTGATTTTTTTGGTCCTATTGCTAAGGTCATAATTATTTATGGAAACTATCAAGGGAAAATGATGTGTAAGCAGCTTTACACCTTTCTTTGAGCTGTCAGGAAAGAAGTGTCCAGTTACTGTCTTCAGGAATTACTAGCAGCTCATTCCTATCCCCAAAAGGAATTATAGTGACTGGCTACTATCCTGCAGTCCCTGGTAGGGCTGAGCCCACAGCTAGTGTCTTTTGTTCTTCCTGGGAGGACCCTTGCCCACTCCTGAACTCCTGGTTTTCTCTCATTCAGGTCCACATCACCCTGAGCACCCATGAGTGTGCTGGTCTTTCAGAACGGGACATAAACCTGGCCAGCTTCATCGAACAAGTCGCTGTGTCTATGACATAGATCCATCCGCTTTCGTATTTCCTCAGCAGGAAGGGGTGATGGAAGAAGGAACCTAGAGAGAAAACCAAGGAGGCTAGCCCCTGATCCCTGACTCTTGCAGTGAATACCACCTCCATTTAGGGATGAGCCCCTGTGAATAAAGATGTCCGTGGCAACGTCAACAGCAGGAACAGCAGATCTTTCCCTGTGCCACTCTTCTCATTGGGGCTCTGCGTGTACGCTCTCCCTTTCTCTGTAGGGTTCCCAATGGCAACAGTGTTCTTTCCAAGCTGTATCTTGCTCCCTTTCTACCCTTTCTAGTTCATTTTCCAAGTAGCTGTGATAAAGCATGACATAAAGTCCAATCTCCGACCCCACAACAGAAACAAGCCCTACTGTATTAAGCTTCTAATAAAACTATGCTATTAATTGGTTCAGCTTCTAGAACCTTCTTTTCTATAGGTCATGCCAAACTGGAATCAGCCATGTTTAGCTTTGAGGAGTTTGTCCTGTTTTTGTGGCTCTGGGGATCAAACCCAGGGCTTTCTTTGCACATGCTCAGCTAACAGGAATGATCCCACTAAGGTACTGAGCCTGTCCCCAGCCAAAATGCAACAGAATGTAAGCACTTATTCTAGGTAGAAAGCCAGGTAGGGCCACAAGGTACTGAAGGAGGGAGCAGAGCACTCTGCCTTCGGTTCATTATTATGTTGGAAATAATGGAAACCAAAAATAAGAAAATGGAACCAGGAAAATTATGAACTGTTACTAGACAAGATAAGACATGAGCTAAGGGAACACAGAGAAGCAATTAATGGTGACAAAGAAGGATGTTAGTTATACCTCAGAGACCAGAAGGGCAATGTGTACATGGCATGTGAACCTACATCTAAAAAGATAGTGTGCTACCATTATTTTATTCCTTCTGCTATAATGACTAATTTTGTATGAACAAGCCTAGATATGCCATGAGGTACCAGACATTAGGTCAAATAGGATTCTGGGTGTCTTGGGGCGGGTGTGTTCTGGATGGGGTTAAACTTTAAATTGGTCATTAGTAAAGCAGAGTCCTAGTCCTTAGTAAAGTAAGAGTCATTCAATCAGCTGAAGGCTTATGGAGAGCAAAAAGACTGACAATCCTCAATTAAATAAGAACTCTGGACTCCTGTTTAAGCTTCCTGACTTCGTGGGTCTTAGCTCTAGACTGGAACTGCTCCTCTAGCTAGCCAACTTGGCTGCCATCACCACTGAACTGGTTCCTTACCTAAAGTCCCCTTCTGTATATATTGGTCATTTCCAATATACTTACTAATATACATTGGTCTTCATCAAAGACCATAAACATCCAAAGACCTCCAATCTGACAGCTTCTACAATTCTCAGTCTTAGCATAGGACTTAGAGCTTGCCTACTGTTATTCTGTAGAGAGGACACAGGTAGTGTAGGGAATGATGGGCTATTTGCTACTTAAGGACCAGTTTATACAGGTCAGGTCCCTGGGTAGGAATTCTCAAGGATACAAAATGCCCAAGAAATGACAAAATGGGAAGAATGGGAGTCAAGCCCAATCTCATCTTTACCTGAGTGTGTCATAAGACACTCAGAGCAGGAGACAGAGCAGCCCTCTCCTCACCTATGAGCCCTGGCCTGGAGCCAAGGCAGCCTGGATATATTGATCCTCTTAAGGCCAGAAGAGGCAGAGGCTGGCACTACACAATGGCAATCTGACTATGCAGCTTAACAGTAAAACCACCCAGACTTCAGACAGTGGCATCATCTGTTTCACTTCTGACACTGTTCCCAAGTGTGCTCAGATCTAACATCTGAGTACATGGGACAAAGACAGAAAACATGGAGGATTCAGCTTGGTTGTTAATGGCCTTCCTATTCTACTTATATGGATCTGGATTTGAAAAGGCAACTGAGAGACCAAAAGATTAAAAATCAGCCGTTATTAAAGTTTAAGGCCTAAACTAGCTGGGTGAAGTCCAGACATGCCCTCAGGGGAAGAACCTGCCTTACTGCATTCTTTCCCCACCCACTAGAGATACAGTTGCTAGGAAACTGGCCCATCCCCCTAGGGAGGAACACCAGGTCATTAATGGTTTGGGGACCTTCCTATAGCCAATCAATTCAAAATGTAGCATTTTGACCAATAGATGCTTGCCAGGCAGGAATCCCCCTGCCTTGGGCATGCTGGGATGGACCAGAATCTTTAAATCAACCAACTAACCTGAGCACGCTCAGCTCTCACCGCTTTGGCGGTGGGGGGTGTGGGCCCAAGCTGCAGCTTGTAATTTGTAATAAAAAGATCCTCATGTGGTTTGCAACGGACTTGGCTCCTAGTAGTGGTCTTTGGAGTATTGCGATTCGGGCACAACACAACCACATCTGTATGAGGCACATCTGTTTACAAATGACAGGCAACAGCCTTTAGAAACTAGTTTTATTCTCAGATCAAGCCAGGTAACTTAAGTTCTACATAGAGACAGTATGACAGGATAGTCACATGAAATCACAAGTGGAAAAGAGGCCTGAATCACCTACAAGAAAAGGCTATCAAGCTGGGCCTGATAGCACAGACCTGGAAGCCACCTTCTTGGGAGGCAGATGTAGGAGAATCAAAAGTTAAACCCCAGTCCAGGCAACTGAGTGAAAATAGCCCTCAAAAAAAGGGGGGGGGGGGAGGCTGGGAACATAGTTCAGTGGTAGGACATTTACCCACTATGCACATGGCTTTGGGTTCAAATACCCAGTATCACAAGTGGAAAAACAAGGTTGTCAAAGCCTGGCTTTTGCTCCCCCAGGCTATAACTGGTGGCTATCATGGTAAGCCTGCCATAAGTTTTTGTCACCACTAGGTATTGCTGAGGCAACTCAGTACTATCAAGAACCATACAGAAGTGAATAAACTGGAATTAATAAAAATAAATTAAAAAAAAACAATAAATAAATAAATAGCCATTGAAAAAACAGGAAAAAAAAAAAAGAACTATACAGAAGACAAAAGGTATGTAACCATGAGCATTTCAGCTACTTTTGTGAGTTCAACCAGGTCTGTCCAGGGCATACTGGTGACCCATCACTTTATCTTATATATTGCTGATCATCTTCAAGTATACTAGTGATGTTCATCAGGAACTACACAAAAGATAACATTCTCTGCCTTCATTCTGGCAAAGTTGAAATGCCCCGAAAACTCACCAGTGTTAAAGCTGGGCTCCGTGAACCATGGGAAGCCTTCGCTTTCTTATGCAGAACAGAATGTGACAATCAGCACTCATTCATGATCCAGGAGTATTATAGGCCCCCTAACCAAATGACAAGCTTTTGACTGGCCAGACAGAGCCATGCCATCAGTATGTTCAGCACAAGAGAGGAGAGGAGTTTGAGGCCAAAATAGACCTCCCCGGACAGATACAACCACAGCTCTTGGAGACGACTAAGCTCCCGAAAGTGCCAGGACATGATGAATCCTGCTGTAAGCATGTCACAATTTAACTCCCCCTGGGAGGGGAGGGACAATGGAGGAATGCTCACCAGTTTCCCATTCAGCAACTGCTATATTGTGATCTGTATAAAATAATGCAACCACCCAATGCAAAAAATGCAACCACAGTTCAGGACATTTATTATTCAATTGCTTTTGAAGAGTTATTGCTGCAGTCAGGAAAGGGCATGGACACAATGGGGACATTAGAGAAGACAAAACAGATTTCAAAGAGGCAAGTACCATTTTCCAAGTATAAAACTGGTAATATTAAAAGTGACATGGCAGTATATTTACAGTACTACCTACATCTACTATAGAAATAAGACAGTATAGTGTTTGCAGAAGCCACTGTGGCACCTCGTAAGTCACATGATACCATGATAAAAGACACACTACCCACCCTGCCACCAGCTAGGCATGGCATGCACACACAAACACACACTCACAAAATGAAAGCCTTAAGTTACACTAAGGTTCCTAAGCATAAATTAAAATGGCTACAGCAGGTCCCTCCGAAAAACACCAGCACCCAATGCCAGTGCTGCCACAAAAGAAGGTAGTGGCTCAGTTCCTGGTTCTGCTGTGACTACAGAGGACCTATCTGTCCATTTTAGCCACTGGCAAGGCAGTAGTGCCTGCTGGGTGGTCCCTGATCCTCTCCAGCATGATGCACTGTGGACCCACAGAGGAGTCCCAGAAGCTCTGACCACTGGAAGAGCGTGAGCTCAAGAACTCAGCCTCTCTCTCTGACATATGCGAACAACATTAACTCTCCCTGAACCTCCTAACGCACTGTAGCGCATACAGGAGGGAAGTGGACATACACACTTGCCCTGCCATGAGCCAGCTAATAACAGCTATGTGGTCAGAACAGTACTGAGGAACACTTCCCAAGGAGGGTGAGGAAGAGCCTGGTGGTTTGGGGCTCCCAGGCAGCAATGCTTAGGCTAAATACTCAGGAATCCCTGAGAAGGGGAGGAAACACAGCAAGGCTCCTGCTGACTTGTCCCAAGTTCTCTCCTACAAATAGACACATCTCAAAGACTGGTCCATTTCTGCCAGGGCCTGGGTGAGGAGTAAGTTTACTACTCACTGCTGGGGAGAAAGGCACATGGTATCATCATCAGAGCAGGACAGGGCCTCAGCCTAGATCAGAGTCCCCATCCCTAAAAAGGAGAAGCAAGTAGAAAGTTGGCACAGGGGGTGGTCCTGTGCCTGTACCACCCTGGGCAATCAGTCTTAGGAAGGAATTCCAGACCCCAGCTGTAATGGCTGCAGCCAAGCCTTTCTACTCCCATGCTGCTTCCTTTTATCGGAGGCTGAGAAATATCCAGTACCTGAAGGTAAAATGCCATCGTACCTTTGGATGCTGAATAAAGGTAGAAGGGGCAGGAAGAACAAATTGATGGAGAAGGTGTCCCCTGCACATCTTCACATCCACTAAGGGAAGTCAAGGACACTTGTAGAGTGTTTCCTTCATTAAAAACAGATTCTTATTACATGATGGATTAAGGCAATGTGGAGGAGGAGGACCACTGCCCACATGTGCACATAGGTGCTTACTTATGCTGCTGATCAAGAAAATATGGAAAAGGGTCAGGTTTTGGCTCATCTGGCCCAGGAGAGGGCTCGGGTGTGATCTACCCCTACTCCAGTGAGGCAGCACCACAGCTAAAAAGGCCTAGATTCTCTGAAAACCATGTTCTTTACCTACCTTACAGCTATAAGAACAAACAAGTGGGAGTATCACTGCCAATGGGCACCTCCAAAGATGGTAGTAACCACGGTCATGCACAAAAGACAAAGGAGCACTTCAAACCCTGCCAAGGGAACATGCTCCAGTTATGCAAAAAAGACGTCAGTGACCTGGCCAACCTGTGCTTGGAAAAGTAAAACAACTTGCAATGAAAGTGATCCTGAGATTCAAGTGACATCTCCTGAAGTCTGAAACCTCCTCCTGCATGGGACCTACTAACATCTACCTGGGGAACACAGTACATAACTGCCTCCTGCCTGACAGCCAAAACATTCGACTGAGGTAGCAAAGACACCCTCTTGCTATCTCACATTTTCCCTAAGCAATCAGGACAGGTCAGAGCCACCACACAATTAAGTGAAGATGATGCTGAAGACGTTAGAGAAGAATATGGTTAAAACAATTTCTACGGTAACATTTATAACCAGGGAAGACTCATTATGCAGTGGAGTCATTCAGGGTCTTCAAATTAAAAGCCACAATAGGAAACAAAAGGAGTCCTGAGGCTGAAGCTATCTTATGGTTTATCATATTGTGCTCTAAGGAGCCAGTCCAGATGTCAAGTTGTGTGTGGTCTGTTCCAAATGCCAAGAACTTTCTGAAGGCCTGAAGCTCCATGGACCTAACAAGGGTCAAAGTTCAGTGGGGCTTTGGAGAACCATTCATCTGGCTGCCCTGAGTCACAGGATCCGTACTATAAAGGCTGTCCAAGAAGATGGAGGATAACTCTGCAACCAGATTCCTGTCAACGGTGGCCTGGGCCATGCCGTAGATGGCACCCTGCAAATCCAACCAAGGATATATTATTAGTGGTATAAATACAACTACCATCCTTATGCTCCCAGCCCCCATTCCTGGCCCAGGCATCTTTCCATCAGAAAAGTAGCTGCCACGATATATTTGCCACAGGTACTTTCAAGCTTGCTACTCAGGGATTTACTGTTAAGACAGACAGACAGACAGACAGACAGACAGACAGACAGACAGACAGAGATAGATAGATAGATAGATAGATAGATAGATAGATAGATAGATAGATAGATAGATAAAGATCCAGAGAGCTCACTGCCTTTTCTGTGTCAAATTTATTTTCAAACAGATAGGACAAGAGCACCCCTACTTCTGTTCGGCAGCTTCTGCTTTCAATCTCATTTGAGATACCTAACAAGAAGGGAGCAGGGACCAGCAGCAACCTTAACTGTTAAGGAGAGTTTGTGCACACTGAGCTGAGGCAGAAACAGACTCTAAATACTCTGATTATTTCAGGATCCCACACAACTCTTAATGTTTCTAAGCAGGGATGCCCTGATAGTCTTACCATTCCTGTGGTCTTAGCTTCAGGATTCTTCATGATTTGTGTGACCGATTCCCGGATATCCTTGAGGAACTGGATTGCCACCCGCTTCCGAGTATGTACTAATGTAATGCAGAAATGAATGCTGTGGGAGGAGAGAGAAAGTGAGAGGAACATCCCCTGAAAAAGAAAGAAACCCTAAAATAAAGGAACGGAATGCATTGGTTGACTCTCCATACTGCTGCTGTTTCCAGGTCTGGGAATCAGGCTCTCAAATCTATGGGTTTTTAATCCAGGAGATGAGGGTTTTTCAGCATGATCAAGAGCCACCTTATGAAATGAACATAGCTGGCTGTTCTGTCCTGTCTCCATCCCACAAACTATCAATAGTGGCTACTTCCACCATGCATGAGCAATGAAGGGTAAGAGGCTTTCATCTAGTGGGGTCTTGAAGGACTTAAGTGCTCTTAAGAAATCCTAACTCACTCTCAGGAAGGATGGAGTTAGCAATGGCTGTAAGCTGTGGAAGACAAGCTGTATTAAAGATACAAATACAGATGATTCAGCTGAAGTGGAATAGTAAGTCAGAAAAGCATGCTGAAGAATAAGTACAGCAGGCCTGGAAGATAGGAAACCTTTTATGGGGTTATGAGCAAAATAAACATTACACAGGTAATTGTGTCTTAGAGAAGCCAGCTGATAGCTATGGACAAGATGGATCACAGAATAGAGGTCAAAGAAAGAACAGAGGAAAGCCTTACACTCAACAACTTGTCTCAGCAGGTTGGCAACTAGTTCTACTACAGCTTAAAGCAAGCCATCTTATTCCTTATATCTACAAACTGCAGCTGCTATCAGTGTTCTGGGTTCTAGAAGCTGAACCCTGTATATCAGATTACCTCAAGTCTTCATGTCATGAAAAGGGAGGAGCACAGGCTTTCGGCATACCTTTTTGGGAACTGCAAGTAGTTAAAATTCCACCCCTTAGCAGACATCATATTAGATAGTCGGTAGATGTCAAAATCGTGGGAGCCCAGAGCAATAACTGACAATTGAGGATCCCCAAAAATGAAGATGTTTTTGATCTTTTCCAGTCTAAAAATAAGCAAATGAAGAAAAAATTGAGCATATCCATTTTGCTGGTCCTTATCTCAGTTGATGAACATAGTCTACTCTCCTGGGACTTTTCTTGTCTTCGATACCAAAGAGACTAGGCTAGGATGGGTAAATTTTTATGGAGATCAGAATCCCAGGCAGAACATCAGAAATGTTTCAAGTCCCAAACTCCATCCAGAACTGGCTTTTCCCAGGCTCCCCCACTCCTAAGTCACAGAATAGAATGCAAGTTTTTGTTCTCCCAGAACCATCTAGTAAGGGTCTAAATCCCAGTTTATCAGGGGACAAAAAGTGGTCAATGTGCCACCAGGCAGAGAGATACCTTGGGCCAACTAGGAGAAAGAGCAAAAGACAAAGCAGAACCCCATTTTCCACACATACTCTGACTTGAGGAAGCGAGCAGTTTTGATGATCTGTTTGGTAGCTTCAACATAGCCGTTCTCACCGAAGTGCATTAAGGCAGCCCAACAGGCTGCAATGATGCCACCAGGCCGTGAACCAGCTATGCTTGGAGATGCATAGATGCCACCTTGCCAATCCGCATCAACAAAGAACTGGTACCTCCTGTACTTCTCATCAGAGTACAGCACCACGGATGAACCTTTGGGAGCATAGCCGTACTGAGGAGAGAAGCAAAAGGTCAACCTGTGACTGTAACTGGCAACTCTGCCCACAGAATCACACAAGGTAATACCTGCTTTCTCATGGGAGCTCTGTGATGCTTCCCATTCTGAACACTATTAACAGACAGAGAGAACTTGAGGGATGTATTCCACATTTTCTTTGTAAGGGGTGAGCCATATGAGATCCTAGAAAAATTAAGGCTAGGCTTCCTCTCTCAGTCAGCTTTTCCTTAATTAAAGCCTTTCTCTGGGAAGCTGAGCCCAGTGGCATATACCTATAATCCTAGCACTTGGGAGGTGGAGGGAGGAGGATTAGGAATTCAAGGCCATCTTCGGTTACATAGTGAGTTTCAAGCTGCCAACCAGGGCTATATAAATACCTTGTCATAAAAACAAAGCAAAAAATGTTCTCTGGGACAGCATATTAGTATAAAAACAAGAACCAATCTTTCGTAGAAGCCAGGAAAAAAAAGAAAAAACTAGAATTCAAGCCACTTGGAAGATCAAATTATAATCTGATCTGATTCCCATCTTTTTTGGCATTACACTTCTTTTAAAGACCATACTGGTGTTCTAAATGGTATTCCATCTTGAAATACACTGTACAACTGGAGTCATCCTAGAGAACTCTTACCACAGCTAATCCAAGTTTCACTCCCAGCCCCACACTGAAATGGACAGTTAAGGGGAAAGGACAAACAAGTTATTCAGGTAGTAAAGCAGAAAACTGTGATTAAAATTTTATTGTAGATCATTTAAAGTCTGAAAAACAACTCTCCACTATAATATAGTTTAAACAAGTTCTAGGGGTCTGGAGAGATGGCTCAGTGGTTAAGAGCACTGTTTGTTCTCCCAGAAGTCCTGAGTTCAACCACCTGTAATGGGATCTGATAACCACTTCTGGTGTGTGTGATGACAAAGCACTCATACACATAAAAACAAATAAATAAAGATCACCTGTTTATTAAAAAAAAAGTTCTAGAAATTAACAACAACAACAAAAAGGTACACATCCCTGATGTCATTAAAATTTTTTTCTACATCTGGATGTACTTTCAAGAATTGCCAACTAAGATGGATTTCATTTCAGCCTACCAAGAGTGGCAAGCATAAAAACATCAAACATTGTAAGCCAGTTCCTTTTCCAAAAGGACTCTGCCATCAGCATATTGTCACTTAGGCTCGGGGACCCCAGTATCAATCCTCACCACCTCCAATAACCTCAAGACTACAGGGGCTTTTGGCATAAGGGCCCTGGCTATACAATTGGTTGACAACTAAATCCTCTTAGCCCAGTATGAGCAAAGGCAGGAGTTCCTTTTCTCCATGACTTGTCACTTCCACATTGTAACCACCTGATGGCTAGCCTCCTGACAGACAAGAGCCAGACTTTATTTTATATGTTGGTATGTATGGTGGTTTGAATGAAAATGGCCCCCACAGGTCCACAGAGAGTGGCACTATTGGGTGGTGTGGCCTTGTTGGAGTAGGTGTGCTGTTGTTGGAGGAAGTGTGTCACTTGGGATAGGCTTTCACGTCTCAGATGCTCAAGCCAGGTCTAGTGTAACATTGTCTTCCAGCTGCAGATCTAGATGCAGAACTCTCAGCTACACCCGGAATCATGTCTGCCTGCATCCCACCAAGCTTCCTGCCATGATGATAATGGACTAAACCTCTGAACTCTAAGTCAGCCCCAATTAAATGTCTTTCTTTATGAGTTATTGTGGTCATGGTGTCTCTTCACAGCAAGAGGAACCCTAAGACATAATGAGTAGGGGAGACTGTTTCAATCAACTTGTTTTATAAAGAACAGCTAAACTCACCAACTGTCAGCAATTGTTACCTCCTTAACTTACCTTATGAGTATCTGCTGAAATGCTGGTTACACCCTTCACCCGGAAATCAAACTGTTTCTCCAGTGGGTAGCCTGCTTTCTCCATGAAGACAATGAGGAAACCCCCTAGACAAGCGTCCACATGAAAAGGGATTTTGTATTTAACAGCCAGCTAGTTAAAAAGAACATAGAAAAAATAAATAAATACTAAGTAAAATATGGGTGGAAAGATGGCTACTCTGTATTACATCTCACAGGTGGCTATTTATATAGTCATTTGAAAACAGGGTCTCCTGTATCCCAGCCTGGCCATGAACTTGCCATGTAGCCCATGGAAGACCTTGACTTTTCTGATACTCCTGCCTCAGATGACCAGCATAATACTACCATGCCTGGTTTTATGAGGTAATGAGGATCAAACCCAGGAGTTCATACATGCCTGGAGTGTACTCTTCCAACTGACCCACAATCCCAGATCTCTAATACTTATTTTTGACATTTTTAAATAAAGTTTACTTTTCATGTATATATAGTCTTCAGTGTCCTTCTGAAATGTATTTCATATAATTTGTACTTAAATATGCCTGACCTCAAGCTTCTCCCCACCCTCTATCACATGAGAAACAGCAGAACTCTGATTTAACAGCCTCTATAGGGGAAGGTCCTACTTTAGCCATTATATGACAGGCATCTTCCTAATGGCAGACGTGTTCCTAATGGCAGATTACTTCCTGGTAGGAATCTAAGAGTCAGTATTGTTTCAAAATACCTAGTCTAAAGGCAGCCTGGGTCATGTACTGCCTTTCTTCCAATGAAATGACTGTCAGAGGTTCTCAAAAAAGGCACAGGGGCTTGCTTTGGGGTTGATGAGTGCTATAAATCCCTGCTATGTTCAAACCTAAAATCAAAACCCTTTATCCTCACAAAGCCCTGCATCATCATATCTATTTTAAAGTACTAATCTGCATGCCAAAAATCTGCATAGCCCAAACTTCTCACCTTGGCCACTTCAGGGATAGGATCTATCACACCGTGAGGAAACTGTGGGGCAGAACAGACCAACATAGCTGTGTTCCTGGAGATGGCTCTTCTCATTGCCTAGGGATTTAAAGTATAAGAGATGTAAGAATCTTAGCCACAGCTGTTCATTTGCTGTGAGGACAATGTGGACCGCTGGCTTAGAGTCCAGGTTCATAGGTCTCTACGTCCTGGGAGAAGACTGTCTTCTGCAATGAAGGGTGCTCACAAGTCCACATGGTAATGCAACCTCTGTGGAAATAGAAACAATACTGAACTAGGAAACAAAAGAGGGAACTCTGAGTTCCAGCCCCACAGTCTACCAGTCATGATTTAGTAAAAACTTCACTTAACCTTGTGGTCTACAAATTCCAATAATGTAACAGCTTCAATAAAATGAAAAATTCTTATACACATGTGAGACATAAAAACACACTCAGGTCCATGAAAGGGAGTATTGGGGCAAGTTCATTCATACTCATTTTACAAATAAAGGAAAGAAAGTAAAATCCATCTTTGCACCAACAGGGACAGATCATCAACCTTTTAGAACTAAGAAATATGGCTGTCTGTCACAGGGTCAGTCTGCTGTCTGCTCTGGTCTGAGCAGGAAGTCGATCTATGTGTAACTGGAGAAGTGGTCAATAAGATGTACTGTCCCTTAGACCTTCGGATGACTCACCCGCACATCCACCTCCATGTTCTTATTCTGTTTAACGCGTACAATCTTCATCCCAAAATAATGAGCTGCTTTGTCAAATGCAGCATGAGCGCTCTCAGGGGCCACACTAGGTGATGGGGGAGAAAGGGGCTAATTAAATATAGAACACAACAGGATCCAGGAGAACACTGCAGAAACTTAAATCACCAATTAAAGTGTCTGATTATTTTCCCTCACACTATTATGTTTATATTGCTTGGTGCAAACAAAGACAGGCATATTAATTTTCTGTAGACAATTTCCTCCTACTATTTAGGAACTCATTTTGACAACAAGAAGGAAAATGCAGAATACAAAAGAACACAGAGCATAAATTGGGCCAGACGAAAAAGAAAAAAAAAAAAAGCCAACAGAAGGTTCAGATGGTGCATGAGGCAGAACTTCCTGAGGACTGACCATCCAGAGAACCTCTGTGAGAAGCAAAATGCTGTTCTAGCAGACAGTAGGCTGCCTGGCACAGATGCAGAAGCAGCAGTCAGCCTCAGGCCACAGTGGCCTGCCAACCAAGAACGATCACCAACTTACAAAAAACTAAACTCTGTCTCTCCTATATGGTTACAAATCATTTTCAAATAATGTTCAAAGAGAAAACAGAGTCAAAGATACATATTTGCTTCCAGATAGCCATTACTCCTCTCTCATCACTACTGTCTCCTTTAAGGGAAAAAAAAAAATCTCTACAATCACTAAGTACCAGACACCAGATGTTTACATGTGAAAAAAATAATGGCAGCTAGGTTTGCTCTCCTAGGCAAAGTGAGTCACCGTTTGATGACACATAGAACAAAAACTACTTGGGGGAAAAATTAGCCTAAGAGGTATAGCCTCAGTACAGCACACAAAAGGTGGTCTAGAGAAAAGTCAGCCAGGAACCAAAATTATAATCAGACAAATAGCAATGTAACTAAACCTCAAAAAAAAAAATGAATAAACAAACAAAAACTTGTTTTTTAAATTCTTTCTTCTGGAACTATTACTCAGGTAGAAGTGTTCCTAGGGAACACTGCAGATAGTCTAAGATACTGCAGAAACGTTCACTCATCACAGTATACAAAGAGCTTTTCTTAGGTTCTGGATAAAGTAACAACACAGGAGCCTTTTACCTGTTACCTCTACAATAAGGATGCCATTCTTGCTGATAGTGTGCACTGTTTTAAAACTCACATAACCAACTAGTGGATGTGAAGGGACAAGGCAAAGGGCCTGCGTCAGAGGCAATAGGAGGATGGGCTCATTTTACACTGTATTGTCAGAGGGGAAGCAGACACACATACATACATCTCTGGATTTTTGATCCCCTTCTCTAAGGCCAAGTCCCGATAAGCTTTGCAGGCCATCAGGATGCTTTCTGTTCCCCCAGAAGTCACCTACGTGAAGAAAAACCAGGAGTAAGTTAAGGGTAGGGATCAGGAGATTCAGCCTGCTTTGACTTTAAAAATGTTTGCTAGAGAACAGACAAGGCCATGGGCAATACTGCAGCAGAGATGCGGCTCTATCTTCCAGTGTGATTCAAGGAATACAAGGTGTACCACAGTGTCCAGCATACAACGCTTCTGAAACCCAACTTGACGTTCGGTAAACACATCCTATCACCTCACTATCATTTAGCAGTAACTGAGCTTGAATAATTTCCCAACAAGCCAAAGGCTACAGCACTGAGCTAGCAAGATAATACCTTGGATTTAGCATCTGTGAAGAGTCATACAATCTTGGGTTTTTTCATGTCAAAAAGAAAACTAAAATCCCTAAGCAAATCATTCAGTATTACCATTACATCTGCTGACAAAAAGTAAAACTTTCTGTATTTTGGATTATGTATCAACTTGAGAGATAGAATGAAGACTGTTTATGAAACTTTCTAAATCTCTACGTACAAAATAAAATTTACCATTGGGTATAGAATCCCAGTGGTCAAGAGTTATGAACATGATTAACTCAGAAAATTAAGTAATTTGACTCAGGAAGCCTTTCATGAAACATGTGACCACTCTCCCTAAAATAGTGCACAGAATGTAGACAGAGAGAGAACCCTGTTTGTAGATCTCTATTTTGGAGCTTATAGTTAAAATTAACTCTACAAATCAGCAACAATGCCCTATGGTTTAGCCTAAAACCTCAGAGTGGTGCATTGTATACCTAAACAGCTGTGTAGAAAGTTGGGGAATTACCAGGCTTTATATTCTTACCAAGGCCTAACAATGACCTAAACAAAAAAAAAAAACTTCCAAATTCCTAGTCATCTCCATCATGTGTCCTGTCTTCAGGATAGAAATTTTATTGTGGAATAAGAAACAAAGGCAAAAAAAAAAAAAAAAAAAAAAAAAGAAAGAAAGAAAGAAAAGAAAGAAAGAAACAAAGCCAGGCACAGTGGCACATGCCTGTAATCCCAGCACTCAGGGAGACAGAGGCAGGCATAGCTCTTTGAGTTCAAGGCCAGCCTGATCTACAAAGGGAGTCCGAGACAGCCAGGGCTACACAGAGAAACCCTGTCTCAAAAAAAAAAAAAAAAAAAAAAAAAAAAAGCCCCGACAGGCAGTGGAAGCACACACCTTTAATCCCAGAACTTAGGAGGCAGAGGCAGTTGGATTTGCATGGGCTTAAGGCCAGCCTACACTCTGGTCTACAGAGTTCCAGGGCAGCCTGGGTTACACAGAGATGGCCTATAGCATAGGCATGGAATAGAAGGTGGGACATCCAGCAGGCAGAAGGGATTCTGGGATAGAGCCAGGCGAGAGAGATTCAGACAGCAAGATGTGAGGAGAATGGATGCCTCGAACCTGAGCACAGGTAACCAGCCATGTGGTAATTTGCAGATTAGTAAAATGGGTTAATTTAAGTTATGAGCTAGTCAGAGAAGAGCCTAGCTATATGGCCTAGGTATCTGTAAAATAATAATTGAGTCTCAGGGGTTATTATTCAGGGAGCTTGGGGAAGAGATGAAAAACCTTCTCCTACAACAAATAGAAGCCTTAGGTCACTAATGTCTATCTACTTCTTCCAACTTATATAAACTCTCACCTGACTTTTGTGTTTCAGAGCACAAAACATTTTTTCATTCAGATAAGGTTGAATCTGGCTGCATTTATGTTCTACCTATGATATAATATTTTAGAATATGAATTTGTACTCTTAATCTACTGTGACTGAGGCAAATGAAGTTAATACAGGCAAAGAAAATTTGAAGCAGAAAAAAAAAAAAAAAAAAAAAGAACTGGGAAGTATTTCAAACCCTCAGCTAGTTTCAGTCTAAAGATTTCCCTTTAATTTGCCCTAGCAATCTTTCTTCACAGTGAACCCCCCTTTTCATCAAAAACAGCTCAAGAGAGACACAGAAGAAACAGAGAGAGACATAAAAGGAAAAAGACTAAGGAGAGAGGAGGAAACAAGCAAAGCTCTCTACAGAAGTCTAAATGAGACTAGGAATCAGATATCATCTTATTTCCTGGTCCCTGCCATACCACTAAAAAGAGGATAACTAGAGAGAGACAAGATTTAACTGCAGCACTATGCAAGTCCTTAGGGTTGTATTAATATGGGAGACTGACTACTCATTACCTGAAAGAAATGAGAAAGGAAAAACAAAACACACACACACACACACACACACACACACACACACACACACACACACACAAAATCAACAGCTCTGCAATACTAAAGACCAAATAAGGAAAGAGAAATCTATAACAGATTTGAAACAGTGTGGTCGTTTAAAAGAAAATAGCTCACAGGGAGTGGCACTATTAGGAGGTGTGGCCTTGCTGGAGTAGTTGAAGCTTTGTTGGAAGAAGTGTGCCACTAGGGATAGGCTTTGAGGTTTCAGATGCTCAAGCCAGGCCCAGTGTCTCTCTGTCTCTTTTCCTGTTGCCTTGGTTCCAGATGTAGAACTCTCAGCTCCTTCTCCAGCACCATGTGAGCCACCATGCCTCTGCGATGACAATAATGGACCAAAACTCTAAACTGTAAGCCTGCCCCACTTAAATGTTTCCCTTTGTAAGAGTTTTGCTGTGGTCATGGTATCTCTTCACAGCAATAGAAACCCTAACTAAGACAAACAGTAGCACATAATAGATACAGACGTACAACCACACCCAGTGCCCAGTCAACTGTGGAAATCAGGGTATTCACGAAAGTCTTGAGAAGTCTCATGACCACACCACCCGTTACAAAGAAGCAGAGGTTTCCTTATCCTCTACCTTTCTCTGTACAGTAGACATGATTGATGGGGCTAAAGGAGTAACATGGAAAGACAGAACAGCAAATCTGACCCCTATAAGAGTAAAGGTTACAGGGATTCAGGATGGATTAAAGCTCAAAGTATATGACTCTCTTTCAACTGTGGAGAGAGAACCTTTACTAGAATCTCTCAAGAACAGACCCTGAAACTGTAATAGAGGAGGAACAAAGTTTCAGCCAGCTCTGCATAAGTCACCACCTAGAGTCAGCCCAAACAGACCATCAGGAGAGACCATTTCAAGAACCGACACAAAGCAAATAGTTACTACTGCAAACATGGAGTTGGGTATGACAAATAAAAGCCCAACTTGTAAGGAAACAGCTGAAGGTGCTTCCTCATAGTTTTCTCTCTCTGGCATGGAGTTTCTCAACCTGTGGATTGTGACCATCAGAAAACACATATTTCTGATGGTCTTAGGAACCCCAACCATAAATTTATTTTTGTGGCTACTTCATAATGTAATTTTGCTACTGATCTCAGTTCCTAGGACCATTGGAAATATGTGTTCTCATGTTTATGATTCACAGGTTGAAAACCAATGCTCTAGCACAGGCTCATGAGATCACTATTTAATACAATGGGAAATCATCAAAGTCAGACAACAAAACAAAATGAGACAACAAAGAAAAAAATGGCACTAACAGGAATAAGTGTGTCAAGAACATTTAATAATTCTGACTCAAAAAAAAGTTTGAGATATATTTAGGGAATCCAGATTTAAAAAAAGACAAGGACAGAAAGGCCAATTACACTCTACTTAAGAGAGCTATGTGGTATAATCAATGCCTGGACAGATGGAAACCTGAAGAATAATGCAAATACCTAAATAACTTAGAAAAGATGTGAGGGCAAGAAGATTCAGAGAGAAGTAGGCTTTCAAGTGATACAGGCCTATGATGTAAGAAAAAAAAAAATGATAGTGCTTCTATTTCCAGCAACATACACAGTCATACCATAACTAATTTTTAAAATAAAAACAACTAAAAAGCTTGCAAAGCATTAAAAAAAAGAAACATATTCATCACTGAACTAACATTAAGAACAATCTAAACCCTAAAACAAAACATAACCCAACTTTCTGGAAGACAGTGTGCCAAAGCCAGATCTTCCCCTCCAAGAGGGTTTGCCCAAAGTCACAGTGCAACAGGAAACAGCAGAAAACCCAAACTCTCAAGTGTACAATAAATAAGCCTCACTAGTGTGGAAGAAGGCAGCTTTTTTCAACTTGACATTGGGGTCAAGAAAAACACTTTAAAAAAAGAAAATACAGAAAGAGCCGGGGCTCTCAGGAGAGGGAGGCAGGAGTATCAAGAGTTCAAAGTTATCCTCAACTACAAAGCAGGTTTAGGCCAACCTGAGCTATGAGACTCAAAATATCAAAAATAAACTGGGGGGTGGGGAGTGTAGATTAATAGATATGTGAATGAGTAGGTGAGAAGGGAGAAAGTAAGCCAAGTACAGAGAGGTGGCAAAATATCTGGAGAACTCACAGTGTTCTTTAAACTGTCCTAGCAACTTTATAAAGGCTTAAAGATTTTGAGAATACACAGTTGAAAAGAAAAAATACCTAGAATATATACCAAAATATTGACACTCAGGGTTTTAAAAGTACAAGTACATTTTTTAATTATACTTCATCTAGGTCATTCTTCAATTACAGTATAAGAGTATAACAGACTATTTAAAACTTCTATTATTACAAGTCACTTACACATCCACAGGACTCTGGCCCCCCATTGAAGAGGGAACATGCCATCCTTACAATTTCTGCCTCTAACTTCCGTGTTCCAGGGAAGATATCTGGATGTAGTGGATTGCTCCATGTGAATTCGGCATAAACCTGCAAAGAAATGCAAGGACATATAAGATAGGTTTTCACACAAAACAAGACAAAGAGCCATGCACTCAGTAAAGTTTTCCGGTACTGGGTCCAACAGTAAGAACTGGAAACGGGTATGATATAGTCTCCAACTTAAAGACCAGAATATAATGTTAGAGACAAGACATGCAAATAAATGATGCTACAATGTGCTAAGGGAAGAAATAAAGCACAGTTAGAAGTGTTGAACTGTAACATCAGTATATCACCACAACTATGAAGTCACAGCTTTGCCTATCACTTTTAGGTGTACAGGCCAAATAAGCCCTCCGAGACTCAGTTTCCTCATATGCAAAGGAGACTAAATGGAACCTACCTTACAGGGTAGATTAAACATGAAAAACAACAACAGTCTGCCTGCCACAAAGCAGCCACTGTTGTTGAGGACATTGCTAACATCCTGACTGCCTTAGAGTTATTTGATGAGAGAAACCTCAAGAGATGAATGGAAATTTACCACATGAAACAGGAGGGAAAGAAACATGAAAGAGCAAGATGCTTGTCGACAGGGAAGGGAATAGGAATGGTTAAAATTGACAAGTGGGGCAGATACTGAGACTCATGGCCAAACTTTGGGCAGAGTGCAGGGAATCATATGAAAGAAGAGAGAGTTAGTAAGACCTGGAGGGAACAGGCGCTCCACAAGGACCAAATATATCTGGGCACAGGGGCTTGTCTGAGACTGATTTTCCAACCAGGGACCATGCATGGATATAACCTAGAACCCCTGCTCAGACATAGCCCATGGCAGCTCAGTATCCAAGTGACTTCCCTAGTAAGGGGAACAGGGACTGTCTCTGGCATGAACTCTGTGGCAAGCTCTTTGACCTCCCCACCCCCCTGTGGGAGGAGTAGCCTAGCTAGGCCACATAGGAAATTGCAGCCTGTCCTGGTGAGACCTGATAAGACAGGGCCAGGAGGAAGGGGAGGAGGACCTCCCCTATCAGTGGACTTAGAGAGGGGCAAGGAGGAGATGAGAGAGGGAGGGTAGGATTGGAAGGGAATGAGCGAGGGGGCTACAGCTGGGATACAAAGTAAATAAACTGTAATTAATATAAAAAATAAAAATGTAATTTAAAAAATGACAAGTGGGAGTTGGAACGTAAGGGACACATCATTTCCACTGCATGAGAACCCAAACAATGAAAAGTTTAAACATAGAATTATGACCATTATGTCAAGATATAACTAAGTAAAACATCTAACACTAAGGTATGTGTGGTTTCGCAGTAATAAACACAAGGCCCGAGAAATCACTACTTTAACTGTAATTTCATATAAGAAATGGGTTTCAAAACTAAGCTTGATTAGAAATGGAAACAGCTACCTACATCCCATTCTACAGTTAGGATCATCTTGTGGACTATGTCTTATGAACATTCTGATTGAGCAGCCTTGCCTTGACTCCCATATAAAACAACATTGGTTCCAGCATTAACAACCTCAAATGAACACCAGCACAGTGAAACAGCCCTTTGGTCCCAGCACTTGGGAGGTAGGATCTTTGTGAATTTGAAGCAGCTGGTCTACATAAGCAGTTCAAGGACAGCCAGGGCTATGTAAAGACCCTATCTCAAAAAATAAAAACAGAATCCTCAAAGAGCAGGCTCCTTCACTAGAAATACAGCTTCCTCACAGAACCTAGTAAAGTGAAGAGATATAAATGACATTTCACCTTTCCACAGTCTGAAGATGCATTTGACATTATTATGCACATTTGCCTATTTAAGTGAAAGAAACTTCTGAACTCTATGGTTTTATTTCAATAGTAAACTTCCCTTAAGTGATTACTGTTATTACAAAAATGAGATTAATAGTTAAATGAACAAGGAATGGCCCCTATGCACACAAATACCCAGTGTTCACCTGCACTAGCAGCTCTGTGAGCTTCGGCTCCCCGCTGTACACAGCTCCTGAGGCTTTCCCTTCTTGCCAGAAGACATCTGCAGAAAAAGTTAAAGGTCACTCTGTCAGCACGCAGGCATCACTGGGAAGACAGGTATCAATACAGACAGGATACGCAAAAAACCTCAGGGCACGTGAGTAAAAAATTCAGGAATCAGACATATGGCTAGGCAATTAAGAATATGTATTCTCAGGGGCTGGAGATGGCTCAGTGGTTAAGAACATTGTCTGCTCTTCCAGAGGTCCTGAGTTCAGTTCCCAGCATTGTGGCTCATAACCATTTATAATGTGATCTGGTGCACTCTTCTGGCATGCAGGTGTACATGCAGATAGAGCACTCATATACATAAAATAAATAAATAAATAAACCTTTAAAAACAAAATTAAAAAAAAAATCTATTATCTTGCTGAGGATCAGAGTTCAGATCCCAGTACCCATATCAGGAAGCTCACAACTTTCTATATTTCCAGCTCTAGGGGACCCAATGCCCTCTTCTGGCTTCTGAGGGCATCTGCACTCAAGTACACATATTTCCACATAGATACACACCCACACATATAATTAAAAATAAGTATTTTTAAAAGGGTAAAAGAATAATCTCAGTAAGAAAACTCACAAAGAAATTTCAATAATGATTTACCACAGCAAAGGAGATGAATGGTCATTCATTAGTGTCAATTTGTAGGAAAAGATGGGAATTGCATCAAGGTATACTGAAGACAGACAGTAACGTTACCTCCGCTACCTCCTCTGAACATAAAAGCTGTCCTTTGCCTCCATGTATTCCATGTATTTCCTGTTCTCCATATGACCCTTTTCTCTGTAGTTCCCTCATTTCCCTTTCTAGTCACAGGAGTATAGGAACTGCTATAAGCAAAGCTGAATGAAGATGGCAAGTGTGAAATCTCCCTATACAACCTCCAGGGCTGCAGCCAGAGTACAAGGCGTACCAATAGAGGAGCACCTCCATCTCAGGCCCCACCCTTTCTTTCAGACTTGGAAACAGACACTGCAGAATCCACCTTCCTGTTCCATAACCAACATCCAAGAGCAGGCACAGACATGACCTTGAGACAAGGTTGAGAAGGGTTCCCCACCAGAGTTCCACTTGCTGTCTCAGAGACATTCCCTATTAAACTAACAAATCTGCTGAGACAGGCTACCACAAGGCTGCGCCCTGCTGAAAGTGCTCTGTGAGAGGGGTGTCTCAGAAACACACTACTGAAAAGTAAACAGAACCACCTGCTGTCCAAAGCAGGTTCTCCAGTTCTAACAAGAGCAGAAGGCTGGCAGCAAAACCCTCCTTCTTAAAGCCATATGTGGCTGCAGTTTGACTTTCTTTTCTTACAGGACATGGCTATGCACCACACATGTCTTCAGGCCTGTGGTAACCACGCTTAAGGAAAAACAGGATACCTGTTTTCACATCCCGCTCTTTTGCTATTGCAAAGAATATAGCATGGGATATGACAAAACAAAACAAAAAAACTCAAAGGAAAGAAAAGATGGCAACAACATGTCCTAAAAAACATGGAAATTTTGACTATACAGGTCCCAGGGTTGATAACCCCTATTCTATATCATATCACTCCTAGACCAGGAGTGACCATCCTTTTAACATTATAATAAGGCACTGTCATCTACAAATGTGTTGCAGCTCATTCACAGCAATTTTGGGAAATATTTTGTTCCAATAGGCTACAGATTGGATATACTTGTCCCACACTGTATCTAATTCTATACTATACAATATCAAGAAATTCACACATATCAGTTAGAGAAATTTGAAAGCTGTTTGTCAAAACACAATCTGAATTGGGCCCTAGAATAGAAAATGGATATGAGTAATTAAAAAAAAAACTGATTAAACAAAGTTTGTTCCCAGTTCATAGTGTTATACTAATGTTATTTTTCTAGTTTTGATGAATGTAACATGCTTTACAAGAAGTTGGTGAGAGGCAGAGAGGAAATTCCTGTAACATTTTTGCTATTTGCTTATAAATGTAAGATGTCCAACTTAAAAGCTTATTTGGAGGGAGATGTTGCCTAGCTGGTAAGTACCTAATTAGCATGCACTGGGTCATAAGTTCAATGCCAGTATTGCATAAACTGGGCATGGTGGCACATCTTGCAATCCAAGCTCATGGGGGGGGGGATAGCAGGAAGATCATTCAAGATCATCCTCAGCTATATTAAGACCCTGTGTTTAATTAATAACAGCAGCAGTAATGCTTAACATTTATTGAACAACTATTTATGATATATGCAAGGTACTATACATTCTCATGTATGAATTCCTTTAATCTCTTAAGCAAACTTCTACGGAAGTAGAGATTGTAAGGATAAACTGGAGTACACACAAGGTAAATCTCTCTCCCAAGGTCATATTAAAGTTGAACATCCAGGTATTTGTGAACCTGAATGATTCTCAGGTTACGCACTTGAACATGAGGTTATATGGTATGTACCAATGCATATAGAAGACCAGTATATACTTGTATAGCTCAATAGGTTTATATATAACTGTACACATCAGTCAGCTATCCATCCATCCCCCTATTTCTTTCTTTCTTTCTTTTTTTTTTTTTTTTTTAATGTATATGGGTGTTTTGCCTGCATGGATGTCTGCATACCCACGTGCATGCCTCATGCCAGGGAGGCCAGAAGAGGGAGCTGGATCCCCTGGAACTAGAATTACAGATGACTGTAAACCACCAGTTAAATGCTGGGAATTGAATCCCAGGCCTCTGGAAGAACAGCCAGTACTCTTCAGTGCTAAGCCATCTCTCCAGGCGCTGCCTACCTATCTCTATCACTTGTGTTCATCTTTCTTGATTTTTTTGTTTTAATTTTGCTTGTTTGTTTTTTCAAACAGCATCCACATAAGCCCTAGCTGGCCTGATAACACATGACCTAAACTGTCCTTGGGCTTGCAGCAATCCTCTTATCTCAATCCCCCAAGCACTGGAATTACAGGCAGGCACCATCACAGCCAGCTCTGTGCTCATGTCAGGATGGTGTAATTACAGCGAATGTTTTTACTGTTATAAAACAGGTATCATAACTTTGACAGAAATCTGTATTTCATCTACAATATGAAGTTTGGTCTTTGAAGTAGGGAATAGGCACTCTTGTACATAGAAGCACCAAGTCATCCTTGACCTGTGCCAACATTAGCCGACGATAAGGACAAAAGCAGCACTCCTGGGCCAACACTTACCCATGGAACTGTACTCCTTGAGTCTCTCCAGAACCTCAGCTGTGCTCAGACCCTGAGAAGGCAGAGTTTTCACATACTCTTTGTTCACCTTCAGGAAAGGCATGTTCTTGATGATATCCTTCTTGGTCTTATCCATCATTCCTTGAATCTCCAAGGATAAAGAAAAATAAAGTTAACTAGAAGGGAAAAACACAGGCAAAAAGGCCATCTCTGAGGCCTAATCAATAGCTCAACACCAGACACTGCGTAGCTTTTGCCTTTTTTTTTTTTTAAGGAAAATGCACATTTTATCTGTTTAGCCACCCAGCATGTGCAATGCCTCTTAGAAATTTTTAAAGCCAGCTTTCCTTTTTTTCCTTTGACTTTTTCTAAAAGTCAAAGATGCATTAAATTTCCATTTTCAGGGCTATGCACTGCACTTGGTTCGAACAGGCAGAAGTCAGCACTTAGCCTAAGGGCAACCTTAGGCCTTGTTGTTGTGTTGGCAACAGCAATATTGTGATTGACAAAAGTCATGAAATAGGCCAAGCTACAGTGAAAGGGGATCCTGGCTGTTGTGCAATTGATAAGTAACTTCAACAGATATTTGCAAAGTACTACAAGTATGGAGATCCACACAACTCCCAACGTACCCATATAAGGCTTAAGAATTGTCAGAATGACTATGCTACATCTTTTTAAGACATTATGGGAAGAGCTGCCCATCTGACCCAGAAATGCTAGAACAAACTATGGTTCTTTCTGCCATGTAATTTATCAATTATGATTCTTTTCCATCCTCATAACTTTCTGAGCCATTTCATTCATTTAGTTACTCATTTACTCAACAAATACTTGCTGAACTACTATTACCAGCTAGAGATGCAGCCATTAAAAAACAAAACAAAACAAAAAAACCAAAGAACTTGTGGTACACAGTTAAAAAAAAAAGCCTCCTCTCATGAAGTTTATATTTAGCAAGAGAGACCGAAAAGTCTACTACTGGTGCTCAGAGGAAAAGCAAAGCAAATTTTGGACACAAAGTGGCAGAAACTGCTACTTTTGAGACTCTTCGGTGCTAGTGTGTGGAGAGAAAGCTCTATGTTACAATCAATCTATATATTACTGATGTCCACAATCTCACACCAGCCAGTCACATTTTTCTCAGTCCTAGACACGGGTAATTAGAGTACAAGAGCATCTTCTTATATGTACCTCCTATATGTCAGCACTGAAGGCAGCAGAGTCCTCATTACTTGGACAATGTTGAGACATGCTATGGACACAGGGGTGATAGGCAATCATACTGCAAGCATAGGGACCATGCAACAGGAACAAACTATGAAAGCTAAGTGTTCCTGCACAGATCATGCTGTTTTAAAAAGGGAAAATAGACAAAGGAAAAAAATCTCATTGGAAAGTATATTAAAAAGCACAGCAAGTACTTCCCATTTCCAATTCTCGCCTCCATTACATTTTAAAATTTATTTAAAAAAACAAATGTGATATGTTTGTTTGCTTTCTATCTCTTCTACTAAAATGCAAGTTCCACAGATGAAGGAACTGCCTAACACTGTATCCCGAGCAAAATATCTAGTGTTGAGGATAGAATGATGCCCAAACGCACATGTGTACACACACAGTAACTTCCTGTCTCTAAGCCTCAGAATTTGCTTTTGAAAAATGAAGGTACTTACATGGCCTCTAATGATCCTCACTTCTGTAATTTCAAAAAATTAAGAATGGGTTCTGAAATCCTAGTATTTATTAAGGGGCTAGGAATGCAGCTCTCCAGTAGAGTGCCTGCCTGGCATGTTGAAGTCCCATGTTCAGTGACTACCACTGCCTCCGCCGCCATCACCACTGCCACTCCCACCTTCACCACCACTGACAACAATGCCACCACCATTACCATCAAACCTCAACAAAGGAACATTTTACTGCAGCCTAGCAGTCAAATGCCTGCCTAGAATTGGTAAAGTCCCAGACTCAATCCCCACTACCACCACCAAAGAAGGCATGCTTCTCGGGAATGCTGCTCAATGGCAGAGAAGTACCTTATTTAATCCGAACCACTGCAAAAAAAAAAATCAACCAACCAATCAATCAGTCAAATCAAAGTCAATCTTGAAGCTGAAGGAGAAAGGTGGAGACATTACAATCCCATGGAATATTAATGTGAATCCTCCTCTCCTTGGTAACACAGCCTATCTTTCACAGTAGCCTCCCTTCCCCCTTCTCTAGAAGATTCAGAGTCAAAAGATAGGAAAACCTGAAAGTAAGTAAAGCTGGGAAAAGTCAGACAGAAGGTGAGAGACAGGTCAGGGCACTGGCGCTTTGAAGACCTAAGGATACACAGGCCTTTCTTATACCTTGCAAAGAGCCTGTCCTGCTTATCTCCCCTTTGATAAAAAACCCAGCCCTGAGGAGAAATATCTTATCCCAGTGTAATAGCAAAGAGGACACAGTGAAGAGGGCAACTGTTCTATAAAGAGGGGCAAAGAGCAAGAAAACACCTGTTATCTCTCTAAGTTTCTAACCCTGTGATCAGGGAACTATTGGCAGAGGCTTACCTGTTTTTTAGAATATAGTTTTCTGAAACATAAGCAGGTTCATTCCTTACCTATCTTCCTCTTGCCTGGACCCATAGAGTCTAATGTTTCCTATCTGGTTCTTCACAGAAATTTTGCCAAGCCATGATTTAATTCCCAGATGGGTATCTAAATTCAGTCCAGCGAAATACTATTCTAGAGCGCAGTAAGACTTCAGTCAGGTTTTCTAATTTCAAATTGTTCCTTAGCAGACTTCTCACCTCTCCTTTGGCCAAATATGTTGGAGAAAGTGTTACACTGAGGTTTCTCAAACTTGGTCTTTCCAACCTTTTCAGCTACATCTGCTGTACAGATGTATGCCCTGGGATGCTATGCACTGGGAAGTATTGTCCAGCAGCCCAGACTCCAGGAGCTATCAGAGTTCACAACCTAACCAGTTTCCAAATGCTGTCAAATGCCCATGTTTGATGGACAAAAATCACTCCTCTTCTTTGAGAATATTTGATCTCGCAACAGAAAGAAGAGGTACACACATCAAACAGGAAAAGACCCACACAGATTGCACCTACCTTGTCTCCAATAATTGGCATCTTTCTGATGAGCTTAAATAATTTCTTCTTAAACCGTGACCATAAACCTATAAGAAACAAACAGTTCTCTTAGTCACATGAAATTCTATGGATATAACCCACTAGTCAACAGACAGCAATTAGTTAGTTGTCTCTTACAACTTTACTTCCTCCAGAGGGAGACTTTCTTTCATTTTTGATTAAAAAAAAAAAAAAAACCTTTTAATTTTTGAGTAATATATTTATGTGACCCAATTTTTTAATAAACACATGTGGTAATGTTTCTTCATCTTTATTTCCTTCCACTCAAATCTCATCCTGCCCTTCCATAAGGCCTTTGTTTCCAGCATACACTTCCAGAGTTTGATGTATTTACCAGTAACAGTAAAAATAAATTCTCATTTATTTCTTTTACTGAAGAGGTAGACTAGCTAACCACTGTACTAGACCTTGTTCTTCCATTCAGAAGTATTAAAGGTTAGTATTCCCCCATTCTTTCCTGTCTGTGTGTATAAGGTATGAGATGAGAGCCCATGTTCATGTACATGCCAGTGTGCAGGCCATTAAAGAAAAGTTTCATGATCTATTTAACTTCCTCACTGAAGAACACATAAACTTATCTTATTTATTTTTTTTGCTGTTACAAACCATGCTAAAAATAAGTAACCTTTTAATATACACCATAATGTGCACATAGAATAAATTCCCAGAAGCAGAACTGCCAGTCAATTGACTAGCGATGCTAATCAAATATATTCAAGAGTTCCTGACTTTCCCAATATTTCCAAATGCCCAGATGTCTTTCTATTCCCAAAACTCTGGCTAACACATGCTTTCTTCCAGGACCTATACTCCAGTCTGTCAAACAACACTGACCCTAATGACATTTTCTAGACTGAAAAGGAACCCAAAATTCATGGATGTCAGAGCCCACTTTCAGGCAGTTACACAGAACAAAGAATTCTGATCCCATAAAGTACAATAATTATAAATCAACAAGTTGGAAGGCCACTTGTACATTCAGACAGATACACTCAACTAATCCTGGCAGCAGCATTTTAAGGCTGGGGTAGAAGGCTTTATAGATGATCTATGACAGACATAAAAGGCATCTGAAGATCAGAGAATTAGAACTTGTCTCAGGTACAGTTGAGAGCAGTGAGAGTGAGTTTGAGGCTAGTCTGGTCTACAGAATAAGTTCCAGGCCAGCCAGGGCCACTTGAGACCCTTACTATGAATGAATGAATGAATGAATGAATGAATGAATGAATGAATGAATGAATGAATGAAGTGAAAATTCCTTTTAGGATATTGGGGAGGGATGCACATGTCACTTGTGAAAGTCAGAGGACAAGCCTCTGGGCAGAGCTGGCAAAGCATGTTCAGGAAGGATTAACTCAGAGAGGCGAAGAACCTCTCCCATAGTGGTCCAGATCTTCAGGGTCTAGGACAAGGCAGAGTGGTTGTTTTTTCCAACCCTTCTCAGCCACTGGAACCTAGCATCTTTAGCTTTCCAAAGTAGACTAAGGCCAGTGGCTCTCATGAATCCTCTAGGCAGGCAGTGAGTACATGAACGGGACTGCTGAAAGACCCGGCTTCAGACTGAGAAGCTCCTGGAGTTTCAGCTTTCCAGTGCACAGACAGCCTTCCTGTACCTACCCAGGCCCTATCATGCAAGCCAATCTAATAAATCTCTTTCATAATATGTATTCATTGTATTGGTTCAGTTCCTCTAGAAATACTGACTAGTATAATCGGTATACTATAATAGCAAGATTTTAATTGGTTTCAGTAGCTTATCCATATTGTACAAAAGTTTCCTACAGTGAGCACAGACTCCTTTTTAATGAAAATACATATTAAAAGCTAAAATGACAAGCCGGGCGCAGTGGCAGACACCTGTAATCTCAGCACTCAGGGAGGTAGAGGCAGGTGGGTCCCTGTGAGTTCAAGGCCAGCCTGGTCTATAAAGTGAGTCCAGGACAGCCAACGCTACACAGAGAAACCCTGTCTCGAAAAAATTAAATTTAATTAAAAAAAATTTTTTTAAAGCTAAAATAGCTTGCAGTTCAACTCACAAAGACTTAAATAGCATCTCTTACTCATATAATGGTTTTGTTAATTTTCAGATGGAATGCTCAGGGTCAACAAGTAAGCAAGCACCGGCACCTAAGATGGCTGTGTTTCTGCTACAAGCTCACAAGGAAACTGAAAAGCACAGCCAACTGACAACTGACATATCTAACCACAGAAAACATAGAAGTAATGAATTAGCTCAGTTAATTAGCTCAGTGTTGCCTTAAGCAATGCATACATACAATGGCATACTGCATAAAAAGAAGTAAATACCTAAAGTTAATACTAATTTTAACAAATAAGTAAGAATGTCAACAGCTCTAACTTCAGTCTGGATTTATACATTTACAATCTTAAAATGAAAAGTACCCAGAATACAGATTATGGAGATTAGGGAAAAGTAATGAGGAATGGGTTCTGGGTTTTGAGACAGGGTCAATATAGTTCAGGCTGGCCTCAAACTTAAAATCCTCCTGCTTTAGCTTTTCAAGAACTTGGAGTTAAAGTTGCATCACCATGTCTAGCTCAGAAATTGTTTGTTTATTTGTTAAAGTTAATTTTAATGAAAGAGAAAATTCTGAAGATAGAGATTATACAACAATGTAAATATTAATTAAACATGAATGCCACTAAACTATACACTTAAAATGAGCAAAATAAGAAGCTGGAGTATATATAATTCAGTAGAGTACTTCCCTGGCTTGCACAAGGCCCAATGCTTGATCCAAGCATGTTCCTTCCCAAGCTTAAAAAGGTAACAAAGAATGTGGTGCACAAATATATATGTAGGCAAAACACCCATACACAGAAAATATAAAATAAAAATTAAAAGGCAGCATATATGTATCACAGTAAAAAAGAAAAAAAGCCAGACATGGTGATATACACCATAGCATTCAAGAGGCAGAGACAGGAGGACCACCGCAAGCTACAAGCAAGCCTGGTTTGCATAGTGAGCCCCGATCTCAAGTTGAAACAGAACATGACAAGACAGATGAGATGGGAGAGGGAAGTTAAGGAAAAAAAGGAGAGAAGGGGGAGATAGCGACTATAAATGAATACGATAGGCTTCTTGCTCACTGAATGAAACACTTTCTGGGTAAGGAGTACACCTGAATAGACGACTAAGGCTACAGCCACAGGTAAACCACAAGCTGAACTGAAAGACCAGCCTCATCAACAAGGTGGGAGAAAATCCGACAAGGGTGAGGAACAAAAACTGAAGACAGTGTTTTAAAGCTGCAGTGAACTATAATTTTAGACAGAACAGTCACATCTCGTTTCTACTTTAATTGCGAGCTCTAAAGCAGTGGAACTTGCCTCTCAGTTGTCATGTTTTGCAACATTTATTCTGCTGTAACTGCAATGCTAGTAAAATAGCTCAATGGCTGCATGATAGAATATAAAAACCAGCCGGGCAGTGGTGGCACATGCCTTTAATCCCAGGTGGAACATGGGTGTGCAGGAGGTGTTTGTACCTTAAGAGGGTAGGAATTTCTTTGAAAGCCCCTGAAAAAAAAAAAAATGGTATACTTCTCATGGAAGTACTACTGTCCTTTAACAGAAGTTAACTCCAAAAAAGAAGGACGACACATTACTTCTGCGTATACTCTCAGGGCCCACTTGGCAGTCAAGCAGTAGCTCTATGAAACTGCTCCTAATCTTTAATGAAAAGGCCACAAATGAAAGCAATACATTTCTACTCTGGGAATCTAATAACACAGTTATGTTCTAGGAAGAAACTAGTACTGAAAAATGTATAAGCTACACTCTGAAACATCTGTGCATCTTTATAGTAGCTAATATCTAAGGAGTTTTTATGCAAACTACAAATGAAAAAAAAAGTTACCCAAAAGTCCTAACAGAACTTTACAACTCATAAACAAAGGTCTATTCCCCATCTAAATAGATTTTAAAAGGCAGAACTGAACCAAAAGAGATGCTTCCAACCCATTATCCATGAGTGACACTCCAGTCTATCATTACCAAAGGGTAGTATACTTACTCTCTGGCTGGAAGATAAGCTTGTACACCCAGACTATCAGCAGAGTACTCAGGACACTCCATGCAATGAGCTGCCAGGGCTCATATTTGGTGCAATACCCATTCACATAATTCTTGGCTTTTGTGGAATATGCTTCCAAAATCTCCAAGTAAGGCTCAAAGTCCTTCTACAAACGTAAGAGAAAAAAGACAGAAACATTACATTCAGAGAAAGGAAGTTTGTTCTTAGCTTGTCCTTCTATTCTCATTTTTTTCAGGGGCAAGGCTGTTACTCACGATGAGGCCCAACCTGAGCAATAATCTTATCATCTATACAGCCCTCAAAGTCTCTACACCAATTGCTCCCATCTAATAGTGCCATGTGGACTTTGATACAACTTTTGATCTGCTTATTTTGTAAAAAAAACAATCTTGATCAAATCAATGTGAGCCATCACCTTTATCTCACTGCTAGTACTCCCAACAGTTCCTCTCTTACACTAATTCTCAATGTGAATGCTACTTTTTCTCTATTCTATTTGAATTTTCCCCTTCTCTACCCTAGCCATAAACAAAACAGTTCTGTGTGGATCCTGACTGTGACCATTTTAGGTGCTGTACACTGCTTCTGTTACAGCTCCTTGCCTCTGGTGCTGTAGAACAGTGTACAGACAGTATGCTAATGAATGTGGCTGGGTTTCTACACAACTGTATGCACAGTGAAATATTTTTGTTGTTGTTGGTTGTTTGGAACTGGGTTTCTTGTGTAGCCTTGGCTGTTCTGGACTCTTTTTGTAAACCAGCCTGGCCTCAAACTCACAGAGATCCACCTGCCTGCCTTTGTATCCCTGAGAGCTAGGATTAAAGGCGCATGCCACCAAACCCAGCTACACATTGAAATCTTAATTTCATGTAATTCTCACATTAAAAAATATTATTTTTAGTCAATAATCTGAAAATATAAAAACCAAATGTGTGAGGTAGTTTATACAAATAATCCCAACAATCTAGGCCTGGACTACATAATGAGATTGTCTCAAAAAGAAAAAAAGTAAAAATCATTTTGGTTCACAGAGACAGATTTGACAATGAGTTACTGCTTTCTTATCCTACTCTAAAAACTCACTTACCTACTCTTGAAGTCTGGTATTTTATTTTCACTGTATCCCACACAGTATCTGGCATAAACAACAACTACAAAATCTCATTTGTAAACTTAGCAGAATCAGTCAAAATCTCTCTTTGAGATTGACCCTATGACCTCCTTTAAGCACTCCAGGTCCAGGTAAATATTCTACCCCTGGGCTACATCCTAAGCCCTACTTTACTTCTAATTTTGAGACAGGGTATGACTAAGTTACCAGGCTAGTTTTGAACTCACTTTACAGGCAAATCAGCTCTCAAACTTAAATCCTCTTGCCTCAATTTCCCAAGTACTGGGATTACAAAACTGAGCTGCCAAGTCTGGCCAGATCTCTTGAGAATTCACCTCTCCTTTTAAATTTCTGTGAAGAATTAATTTGTGCTAGGCTTATCACAACCTGCCTTGCAGTCTACTCATCTATTCCTTATCTCCCTGACTACAATGGTAGGACCTTTAAGACCTCTTCTTATTACTTTTTTTAAAGACCTGTTCTTTTCCCTATTTACTGAGCCACGGTGCCTTGTAAAACTTAGTTCATTGGACAGTTTGTTATTCTCTCACTTAACATTTTTATGGCACTAAGCTGGGGGACGAATATGGGTAAATGTATAGTTAGAAAGATAAAAGAAAATTCTACAGGATGTTAAAAAAAAGAAAAGAAAAAAAGAAAGAGAAAGAGAAAGAAAAGGCATACCAGGAAGAATGTATACCAGCTGAAAATGAACAAACAGAACCCAGGAATAACACAAGTTCTTACCAGGTGTTAAAAGTGGAGCTACACAGAACAGGGACTGTTTTCTATCTTAGCCAGTGCCAAGTTTCCAGCATACAGCAGGTACCTGGCACACAATCTGCACTGAACAACTGTAAACTGAGTAATTGTGCCTGAGTAATTAAGAGAAAGGAATGAATTAAGCAGAGAACTGAGGCAAGGAGGATATTGAAAATGGACTTGGAGCCAGGTACGGTGGCCCAGGCCTGTAATCCCAGCCCTCAGGGAAGCAGAGGCAGGTGGATGTCACAGAGTTCGAGGCCAGCCTGTTCTACAAAGTGAATCCAGGACAGCCAAAGATACACAGAGAAACCCTGTCTTGAAGAAAGGGGGAAAAAGGGGGCTTGGAAGCTAGGCATGAAGGCATGCTGAACTTATAATGCTGGAATTTGGAAAGATGAGACAGGATAGGAGGATCCTAAATTTGAGTTTCAAGCTAGCCTAGTCTACATAATGAAATCCTTATCAATAGGATATAATAATAAATATTATAATCATGAGCTTAGAGGAAAAACAGCATAAAAAGTAAAGTTATAAATCAATAGGAAGTTGTGTAAAGCAAGTAGATCGCATCTACTAACACTGTAAATCCTTTATCCTCTTTGATTCAGAAACTATAAACCTCTATTATGTTCACAGAGAGCAATGTTCAAGTGTCTTCACTTCAAACGTTTTTTGTTAAGAGAAAAAAAATTTCAAGAAATGTAAATGTCCACAAACAGCGTAATGGTTAAACTAGAACACATTTTATGTATCTATGTTGAAATATTAAAAACAGATTTTTTTTAATAAAAGAAAACCTACAGAAAATAATACTGAGTTAAAGGAAACAAATCAGGGCAATTAAAAAAAAGCTAGACAGAGATTGCTGAACATGAGAGAAAATTTTTGCTTAAAGATTATTTGATGAAGATGTCTAAGAGTAGACAGACATCAGCAACAAAAGTTATGTTGAGTGATTGCTGGAAAGACAACTGGGTTTGTCTTTAACTGATATAACATTGGAGACTGGATAAGAAAAAATACACATTTTTGATTTGTGCTTCCTATGTTCGGATGAAAAAAAATATGATTTGCTAGCTTCCTGCTCCTGCCACCACATGTCTGTGCCTTCTCCTACCAGGATGGAGCCATAACCCCAAACAAATGTTTTTCTCCTTAAAAAAAGAAAAATAAAAAATGTTTTAAAGACAAGATCTCAACCCTATAGCCCAAAGGGTCTGAGAACTCACTGCATGGCCTAGGATAACCTTGAACTAGCAGTAATCCTAATAATTCAGCCTCTAATGTTCTGTGATTATAGATTTAAGCCACCATACCCAGCTAGTAATACATACTCAAAAGGCATTTCTAAAGGTACAGAAACTGGATTTAGTGACTATCATAGTCAGTTTCAACTGCCAACCTGACAGTTTAGTTATGTAACAAGGAAGTCTCAAATAAGGGACTGGCCTATGGAGATGTCTGTGAAGAACTATCTTGACTGTTAAATGATGTAGAAGGTCAAGACTACTGTGGGTGGCACTAGTCCCTGAGTTCTTGGGCTGCACTGGGCTAGCTATGCTTGAGCCTGTGACTCAAGCCAGCAAACAGCATTCCTCCATGGCTCCTACATCAAGTTCAGGCTCTGACTTCCATCAACGATGACTGTGACCTAGAGGTATAAGACAAATAATCCTTTCCTTTCCTTTTGATCAGTGTTTTATTAGAGTAACAGAAAGAAAGCTAGAACAGTAACTTTTTTGACTATGAGAAATTATAGAGTAAGAATAATAAAAATAATTCTAAAATTTCAAAATTAGTTAAGTGGTTGGTATACCATTAACTACGGTAAGATAAGGAAAACCAAAGTGGGAAAAGATTTAAAAAAAAAAAAAAAAAAAAAAAAAAAAAAAAAAAGGATGGTGCTGGGCCTGGAGAGATGGCTCAGTGGTTAAGAGCACTGTCTTAAGAGCTCTTAAGAGCTCTTACAAAGGACCCATTTTCAATTCCCAGTACCCACATGGCAGCTCACAACTGTCTATAACTCCTTCTCCAGAGGACCTGACTCCCTTACACATGCAGACAAAACATCAATGTACATAAAAAATTAAATTAAATTAAAAATAAAAAAGTTTTAAAAGATGGTACTGTTTTTGAATTCTGTTTTCTCTTGAGTTCGAGGCCAGCCTGATCTACAAAGTGAGCCCAGGACAGCCAAGGCTATAAAGAGAAACTCTGTCTGATAAAACAAAAACAAACAAACAAACAAAAAAGGAACATGAAACCTCACAAATAAAACAGGTATTTAACAAGTCTTTGGTTTGTTTGTTTGTTTGTTTGTTTGTTTGTTTGTTTGTTGAGACAGGGTTTCTGTCAGCCTTGGTTGTCCTGGACTTGCTTTGTAGACCAGGCTGGCCTCGAACTCAGAGATCCTCCTGCCTCTGCCTCCAGAGATTAAAGGCATGTGCCACCATGGCCAGCTAACAATTCTTACTTGAACCTGCTATGGACTAAATGTTTATGTTCCCCCATAACATTTCTGCTGTCATCAAAGCCTTGAGCTTATTATCAGGAGGCAGGAATCCTTAGAGGTTGTGAATCACAGAGGAGCCTCCATGAGTACAATTAGTCCCCTTTCAGGAGACAGACACCAGAGAGTGAGCCTGCTCCTTCTCAGTGAGGTCACAGCAAATAGACACTGTTTAGGAAAACCCTTGTATGAACTCTCTTTTGAGTGCCATCTTGTAGAAATGGGCCTTCAGTTTATGTAGCCTTGATCTTGGATTTCCCAGCTTCCCAAACTATTGAAGAAATAAGGTTTTGTTGTTTATAAGCTACTCTGTTTAAGGTATTACATTACAGCATCCCAAATGGACTAAAACAATGCCTTTAGTAACTGGACTAATAAAAGGCAAATTTTAGGTTCCCTGAGGGCTATCCATGGAAACAACTTATCTACAACAGGTGTCTCTTCCCCAGAGTCCACTGTTGCTATCAACAACTTCAATCCTACAAAGCAATGGCAATTCCAGCAAAAAATTGGGAAAGACCAGAGGAGTCTGTTCACCATCAAAGGGATTCTATTATTTTTCCCAGAGAAGACTAAGGTCAAAGCTGTGATCAAAGCACATAGTTAAACAGTGTGGTACTAATTCCTAATTCACATTGAATTTAATTTTAGCAATGTCAAAGATGATGACAAAAACCAATTCTTTATGGTACTGAATGAAAAATAACAGAACATTAGAGACAAAACAAAGAACCAAGAAATGAAAAACAAATGTTCAAAG